GAAGATCTCCAGAGAAGGAGACTCCACAACCTCTCTGGGCAGCCTGTTCCAGTGCTCTGTCACCCTCACTGTTACGACATTTTCCCTTAAGTTACTGTGGAACTTTTGATGCTTTATTTTCTGGCCGTTTCCCCCTAGTTCTGTCGGTGGCCACCACTGAAAAGAGGCCAGCACCATCCTCCTCACTGCCTCCCTTGAGGTACTTATAGACACTGATCAGGTCCCCTCTCAGCCTTCTCTTCTCCAGGCTGAACAGGCCCAGCTCCCTCAGCCTCTCCTCATAGGGCAGATGTTCCAGGCCCCTGATCATCCTTGTGGCCCTGCGCTGGACTCTCCCCAGCAGCTCCACATACAGTTATCAAATGATTTCCAGCATGGTATTGTTGTTGATCCTTCATGCAGACATTGTAAGTGGAGTTGATTAAGAAGACTTGGCTTTCCTTAGGGTATTTTTTTTTCTTTTTGTTTTTCTTTTTCCTTTTTTTTTTCAGTGATAGTTTGGATTTATGTAAAATGCAACAATACTCTTAATTACTTGATATGTAGTTGGATTTTAATGTACTAAAAAAGAAGTGTGAAATTTGTCTTTATTCATTAGTTATGGTCGTGTGTTAAATGAAAATTTCAGTACAGTTTTAGTGTGTATAGTGGAATCTGATTTTTAACCGTATATTTAACCACACATGAAATTTTTAGATTGAAAAAATCCAGAAGCATCTATAAGTTCATGTTATTAAGCTCTAACTTAGTTGAAAGTTTAGCTCATAGAATGAAGTATTAGTATTGCATTCTTCATATTAGTAGTAGTACTATTGCATCTACAGTATGGTCTCGAATCTTGGGCCCCTGATAGAATAAAGCTATTGATGAACTGGACTGAGTTCAGCCACCAAAATTGCTGAGGGCTGAAGCACTTGCTACCACTGTGAGAAGAGTCTGAAGGAATGGGATTTCTTTGTCCTGGAGAAAATTTATGGAGCCTATTAACACCCATCAAATACTTAAGAAGAGGTTGTGGGGAACAAAGAGACTGCTCAGTAGTACATGATGGGATACAGACACATGGTGGGATGCAATGGCTGAAGGTTGAAACAAGAGAGATTCAGCCTGCATATAAAGAAAACCCTTTTTCCCCATGTAGACAGTACATCAATGGACCAGGCTGCCTAGAGAGGTAGGGCAGTTTCCATCTTTGGAGTCCTTTAAGAGCCAAGCGAATAAAGCTCTGAGGAACCTAGTGTGATCTCTTAGCTGACCCTTTTATTAGGAAGTTGGATTAGATGACATTTTGAGGTCCCTTCCAACCTGAATTATCCTGTGAACCTATGATCAATTCATACATTAATTACTTGTGATGCACTGTTGAAAATATTTTATTGATGTTTAAAAAAATCCTGATTATATATTCAATTCTTGCTATCACTTTCACTTTTGTGTCTGAAATTTAGAAAGTTTTCCGTTGTATATCATGAAAGAGAATGTTCAAGTACATTCAATCTCATATCTCATATTAATTTTCAATAGTAAATAACTTATTGTTAGTTTAATTATTTAAATATTATTTCTTGGTATTTTCTTAAAAAATATATCTTTATCTTACAGGCTATATGGAAGTGATTCAGATTCCAAGGGGTTCTGTGCACATTTTGATAAAAGAAGTGGCAATGTCAAAGAACTACATTGGTAAGAGGATGATTTACATTACCGACTGTTACTGAGATAAACTTTTTGAATTGATTTGCAGGTGCAGTTTTCTGGTCTGGCCACATATAAAGTAGTGCAGACAGTACAAGCAAAGGAGGGAATGGTGGTCGAAATGGTGGTCGGACAGGTGCAAAAAGAGCAACAATTGTTTAGGGCATATTCTCCTGTAGTAGAGCTAATGAAATGCAGCATGTGAACCCTCGTTGTCCATGTCAGAGGGAAATTAAATAGTGAAGTTTTTCCCCATTTCCCCACCATGTCATAAATTGAGCTGAAGTGGATGAGGAACTTTTACATAATCTGCAGTCTTACTTCGTAAGAGTGTCTTCCATGTGTCTGTATAGAGGATTATACTATTTTAAAACTCTCTTATCCTTGGAACAGTCTTTCAACAACAGCCAAGCTTACTTAGATGTTCTTTTAAACTATGCTCTCTCTGTCATAGCATAGTTTAATTATTATTTATGCTGTCTTTCTACCATAGCATAGTTTAATTATTGTAATTATTATTGTAGTTTAATTAATATTAATTTCACAGTTTTTCTGTGTTGTAGGGACTTAATGCCATTCCTGTTTTATAGATAAGGGAAATGTAGCAGGGAAAAACCCACTCTTAACTGAGGTCATTCAAGAAGCCTGTAGTAAAGCACAGAATTAAAATCAGCTTCCCAGGTTATATTTCCTTTCTTTAAGGATTCTCCTAAATTTGATTCTCTTTTTTGTAATACTAATAATTTGGCTTTACCAAACTCAAAATACATATTTCTGAAAGTTTTTCTACCTTGGTGTACACAGTACTCAGATCACAGTAGTGTAAGAACACCCATTTTTCAGTCCAAAATAGCTCAGAGCTGATAAATTGTACGGCAAGCTAACAGGTGCGCATTGCCAAAATCTCTTTATTTGTTCAGAATGAACAGCAGTTAACTAGGTTATATGCGTCTGCTATATCTATAACATTAATGTGTTGAAAAGGACTGTGATGCATGGAAATGAGAGTCAGAAGGACAATTACCCTTCCAGATACGTTAAATTTTAAATTGATATTATTAATGATGGTACCTGCTACTTTCAGTTGCTACTCTTCTTTCCTGCCTGGCCCCGATTTTCCATAATCCAGCAGATTATGAGTGTCCATTCTGCAGGAAGAATAACATCCACTGCTCCAGCAAAAAAGAATGTTTATTATCCTTCAGCATCACACATCCCCCTGGCCCCTGCCCCTTGTCAAAATATACTATTGGTAAGGTTGCTTACATATCCTATGCTTGACAGATTAAACAGAGGCAGTGGGAGGGAGGAGCACAGTGCATTCTATCATGGTCATTTTCTCCTAAGAACCATATTGTCAAAAAGCCATTTATAACTTTAAAATCTATACCAGTATTAATGTTGTTGTAGTCAAGACAGTTGTTTTTCTGATTCCATGAGTAGCTGAAAATTAGAATAAACTTAACTGCTGCAGCTAAGTTTGTTATTCTTTTAGATTATAAGCAAAGTGATCTTCCTTTGGAAAGCATTTAGATTGGCATTTTTCTTTCATTTTATATATATATTTGCCATTTTTTTTTGCTAAAGTCAAAAATATAGGCAGCTTCTTTAGTATCTGTCCACAGATTTAAAAATGTAAAGTCACAGAAGCCCTAGCTAACAAAAATGGGGGATTCCCTTCTCTCTCTGGTTGCCTGAGTTTCCTATTTCCAAATGAACCTTTACATCCTCATGAAAGATGATTTTGGTAAGTCTGAAGGGTCATTTCATTTTGTGTGTGACTCTGTACTGCTAGTGTGAACCAGTGTTGGATCACCAGTTCCTGGGGAAAGGAATACTTCTAATTTGCTCCCTTAAAAGTACTTTACAAGTGTGACAATGGTTAAAAATGTATTTGTTTTCTTACTTCAAGGTATCTCAAGGGTATTATTTTTTTAAAACATATCTTCAGTGGCAATTTCCCCACTCTCTAAGGAGTTATGCCTGTTGCTTCAGGCCTGCTCTTCGCATGGTCGCTGTAAGAATCAGATTAGGGAATTGATTCAACTGAAAATAACAATTTAAGCATATTGCTATTATATTAGGTTTTATATGCACTGCTGCCAAATATGCGAACACAGTCTAAAAAAATCAATTGTTCCATTTGAAAATATGCAAAAATTAATAACAGCCTCCCCCTGTAACTCCCACACTGGCTTTAAGATTTCTTCTTTCTTTCTGTCAGTTAGCAGACTGACTTGCAACAAATACTTCACAGTTCCTAAGCTAGGATCCAGGTCTACTGCAAGCCCTGGACTCATGTTTAAGGTGCAGTTAGATATTTGGCAACTTTATTAACTCAGTCAGCATCTGTCTTCCCTCCCTTCATCTCTGGCTGCTCATTTCTGCACCAGTACCACATCTTGTGTTGTGCCAGCATGAGTGTATGTTTCTGCAGCTGCATAATAAATCAGTTTTTAAACTGATCCATCCAAAAAGTAACAATGGCAACAACAGCAACCACAAAATTGTCTGTGTCCACTGATTCTGAAAAAATGTATGTTGAGTAATACTGTTATCTTCCCTGAAATGGATTCATCTGGGTTGACATCTTCCTTTACATCTTCCTTTGGCAACTGTTTTGAGTGTTAGTTTCCCCTAGGCTTCCTGTGTTCTCAAGTGCTTGTAAATGATTTGATTAGGATATTAACCTGCTTCTTCTGTCTCATATGCTAATAACTTTAAATCATTGCTTCAGCATTGTCATGTAATTCTTATACTGGAATGCTGCTCACAGCTGTGTGAACTTCACCTAGGCATTACAACCAACATTGAGCAATCTATTTACGCAATGCAAATGCATTTTCCTTTGGCAAGCAGACAAGTTAAAAAGGAACTGCCTCACTTTCTACATCAGTCTGACTACATAAGGCATGTAATTGATAGTATATAAGGTCAGAATGATGAATTATGTAAAAATATGTAGGAGAACATTTGTTCTCCTGTGTTCATTTAAATGTCTCATTTTTTTCTCATTTATATATCTTAAGTAATGTAATTGAAGAATTCATCTTGTTGTTTGCTGTTAATAGAGACTGGACATACTGAGAAGAAAACATTTGGTAATAATGAAGTGATGGAATAAAGGACACTTGCATACGTCTTGCTGCCTTTGGGAGATCCTATGAAAATTCTATTAATTGAGCTAGATCTTTGAAAGCAGAGGGGATAGAAATTTTGGCTGTGTGACAGAGTGACATCACTAATAAAACAGAGCATTGATGTTCAGATGTAATGTTATTTCATCTACCTACTTAGAATACATAAACATTTGGAGTTTTGTTCCTTTCTTTTAATACATTTCTGACTACAATTTGTCTTGTTCTCTGATGTTCACTTTTCTTCTACCTACTTTTCTTGTCCTACAAAACCTGTATAGACATAAGAATCTGAGTTATTTCGAGAAGGCCAGAATGTGTCAGAGCTAACTTTCTTCTCCAAAAGCATATGTGGGGTACCAGAATAAATTCAGAGAACTTGGTAGAGTTAGATTTATGCTATGGAAAGACATTCTTTTTCAGAGCATACAATACTGATGGAAATGGCTACTAACCCTTGCTGTATATGTCTCCAGCAGAATGTTACTGCTTCTCCAACTGTCTGCACTTTGTATAAATGCTTTCTAATCTATTTTATAAAACTTGAGTGTCATTTGTAAAGACTTCTTTCCTAACTGCTTACACTAAGTCATCTGTACACAAAGATGTAGCTGAGAATAAGGCTTGATCTTAAGATGTCTTATTCCATACGATTGCAATGTAAATTCGCTGTCCAGCAAAGTAGTGTTTTATCTAAACAAAAAGCAAATCTCCATTGAATTGCATGTTTTCAAACAGCATTTTCCTTTTAAGAACATTTTATTTGAAGTAAATATGAATGTCACATTCACAATAGTCAAATAGTCTAGGAATCTTTATTACTGCCTTAAATTAAGAACTTAATATCTAATTAACATCTATGCTACTCAACATCCATTATCTAGAAACTTCATCTAATATTTTTGGTAAAATATCAAGCGTATGATCTTGAGCAAAGTCTGTTTGTCCAACCTAATTGGTCAGTTTACTAAGAAATTTATATTTTACCTGCTGTACTTTTGTGGTTTAGTACTGTAATCTAGGAATAATAAAATATCTTTAGAGATAACATAGCTAGCATTTGGATATATGCATTGAGGAGGAAAAAAAATGGGCAAAGGAGCAAGAGTTGAGTTGACCATGTTTCAGACTCAGTCTTCCTTCTCCATTTTTTCCCTTCTCAACTTGTTATTTGAGATGCCTATGTTTATGATTTCCACACCATAAAATGCACAATCTAGAAATTATACTGGTAGCTGATTATAAGATTGGGATTTACTTACATCTGTGTAGAATGTAGACGAGGAGGTTGATGAGGCCTTCTATAGGCAGCTGGATGTTGCCTCACGGTCACAGGCCCTGGTTCTCATGGGGGACTTCAACTACCCCGACATCAACTGGGAGGACAACACAGCCAGGCATAAGCAGTCCTGGAGGTTCCTGCAGAGCGTCGACGATAACTTTTTGACGCAGGTTGTGGAGGAGCCGACGAGGAGAGGTGGGCTACTGGACCTCGTGCTATCAAATAGGGAGGGCCTACTAGGAGATGTTAAGGTGGGGGTAGCCTCGGCTGCAGTGACCATGAGTTGGTGGAGTTCACGATTCAACGAGGAGGAGGCAGGGCTGTAAGTAGCCTTGCGACGATGGACTTCAGGAGGGCCAACTTTAGCCTCTTCAGAGACCTCCTCGGTAGAATCCCATGGGCTAGTGCTCTAGAAGGAAGGGGGGCCCAAGAGAGCTGGTTAGTTTTCAAGCGGCACTTCCTCCACGTCCAGCAACAGTGCATCCCTGTGTGTAAGAAGTCAGGCAGAGGGGGCAGG